ATGTTATTTAAAGTAAAATAAAACCCAAAAACATGTTTTATAATATGGTGTATTATATTCTTCTTTGAAAAACCTATATTCGTTTCCTTAGCTAATATTTGAGTGTTCTCTATCTGCCTGGTCTTGTATGAGAATACAGAGACGAGCCAACAGTGACCTGTTTCCTGCCCTTAAAAAGCCCACCTGCTTATGGGGAAGACTGACATTAACAAAATAGTCACACACATAAACGTAACATTGCAATTCTGATAAGCGCTAGGAATGAGAAATACATGCTAGTAAGCAGTTAAAAAGAAATAGGGTGATTTGACCTAGTCATGGAGGGTTTCTCAGGAGGGCTATAAGATGAGTAGTAGTTGGTCCATGGGGGATATGGGAGGCAGGAAGTGAAGAAATGTTCATACAGAGAAAAAAAACCTTTTATTGGAGGGAGTAGCCATTGTGGCTAGAAGCTTGATCAAGGAGAAGTTTAATATATGAGGCTGGTGGTGGGGTGGGGACCATTGCACATAGATCCTGGTCTTTATCCTAAGATCAGCTTTTTAAGCAAAACAGGTAAGGCTGGACCAATTACAAGGCATATTCAGTAATTTCATAAACAGTGTTTACTGGGTGGCGAGGGAAGGGTAGAAATGTATAGTAGATGGATTCAGGAGATGCTTAGGATAAAATTGATAAGACCTGCTGATGTTTTGGATGAGAAGACATGGCGAAGGGCAGTTTGAATGATGAATTTCTGGCTTAAAAAAGCAGATGAATAATGGTGTCATCAGGAGTGGGGAGCTTTTAGGGAGTAAATAAGCAAGGAACAGATCATGTGTTCAGGGGTTTTTTGCCCTCAAAACATCCAGCAAGAATTCTAAAATAGACAATTAGAAATCTAGATCTAGGGCTGAAAGGAGACCTGGGCTGGTGATACCAATTACTGAGTCATTTGTTTATAAGTAACTGTTGAAGCCATGGGTGTAGATGAGATCATCTTGAACGAGTAAGCAAGAGCATATGGTTTAGAAAAAGGCAACAAGGAAAGGCCATCACAAGAAGAGTGCTTCATGGAGGGGAAATGAAATGACTGGTTTACCAGTGTTTTTAAATATACAGCAGGAGTAGAGAAGTTCTAGGATTTCAGTTTTAATCTTAATTTCATATGGTCTACTTGTCAGGTACCAAAGTATGTTAATATATGGCAGCATTTGCAAAGCTACCACTTAGTAATATTGTAAAGGGCTACAAAATTGTCACCATCTGTAATTGTAATCTAAATTACTTTTAGCCACTTTCTCTGTGCTTTCTACACTGATTGGAAAAGTCAGTCTAGAATGGAATTTACATTTTTAAATCTTTGCATTTACTTATATCTCATAAGTTCTGTGACTGAATAGAAATGGTATATTTATTTAAAATCTATACTTTGGTTGTATTTATTTTTGGCTTAACATTTACTTGTGTGCCCCTTTGTCCCCCCCCCCCCCCCACCAGTGTAAAAATTAATGACCTAACAAAATCAAAAAGTTTTTTTCTACACAAGTTAGATTTTTTCTCTTTTATTTTGTTCCTCATTGTCTGGTATGTAGTACACATATACAGTAGGTGTTTAATAAGTGTTTTTCTGAATTGTTGAATTACAATATTAGAAGAGTTGAAACACAATTTTAATATCACATGTATTTTCTCTCATTTTCTTAGGATGGCTGGCTGTGGTGAAATTGATCACTCAATAAACATGCTTCCTACGAACAGGAAAGCGAATGAGTCCTGTTCTAATACTGCACCTTCTCTAACTGTCCCTGAATGTGCCATTTGTCTGCAAACATGTGTTCACCCAGTCAGTCTGCCTTGTAAGCATGTTTTCTGCTATCTGTGCGTAAAGGGAGCTTCATGGCTTGGAAAGCGATGTGCCCTCTGTCGACAAGAAATTCCCGAAGATTTCCTTGACAAGCCAACCTTATTGTCACCAGAAGAACTCAAGGCAGCAAGTAGAGGAAATGGTGAATATGCATGGTATTATGAAGGAAGAAATGGGTGGTGGCAGTATGATGAGCGCACTAGTAGAGAGTTGGAAGATGCTTTTTCCAAAGGTAAAAAGAGCACTGAAATGTTAATTGCCGGGTTTCTGTATGTTGCTGATCTTGAAAATATGGTTCAATACAGGAGAAATGAACATGGACGTCGCAGGAAGATTAAGCGGGATATAATAGATATACCAAAGAAGGGAGTAGCCGGACTTAGGCTGGACTGTGACGCTAATACTGTAAACCTAGCGAGAGAGAGCTCTGCAGATGGAGCGGACAGTCTATCAGCACAGAGTGGAGCTTCTGTGCAGCCTCTAGTGTCTTCTGTAAGGCCCCTAACATCAGTAGATGGTCAGTTAACAAGCCCTGCAACACCATCCCCTGATGCAAGCACTTCTCTGGAAGACTCTTTTGCTCATTTACAACTCAGTGGAGACAGCATAGCTGAAAGGAGTCATAGGGGGGAAGGAGAAGAAGATCATGAATCACCATCTTCAGGCAGGGTACCAGCACCAGATACCTCCATTGAAGAAACTGAATCAGATGCCAGTAGTGATAGTGAGGATGTATCTGCGCTTGTTGCACAACACTCCTTGACCCAACAGAGACTTTTGGTTCCTAATGCAAACCAGACAGTATCTGATCGATCAGGAACTGATCTGTCAGTAGCAGGGGGTGGAACAGTGAGTGCTGGTGTCAGATCTAGAAGGCCTGATGGACAGTGCACAGTAACTGAAGTTTAAATAAAAAACTCTTCAAGGTTAAAATGGTTATCTGTAAATTTATGCCCACATAACATTATACTCATCCCTAGTAGTGCATTTTGTGAGTTGGGGTGGGAAGGGGTATGGGGAGGACAGACCTGTAATAAAAATGTTTAACATGTCTCTGTTGAGGAATTTATTTAATATAAGGAACTCGGGCGTTAATAGTTGAGAGTTGTTTAGTAATAACCCAGTTTTTTTGAGGTCTGTTTTATAGGTTTTTAAAATTTCTTCAGTTCTTTTGGCCAGTGTGTGTGTATTATCTGTGCATTAACAGTCTTCATCTTATTCTTGCATTGTGTCTTATTTTCCTGCATGGATTGACGTAAAACCATTACTAAAATTTGGCACCTATGAGATGTCTGGTATCGGTATGAACAGGAAGCTTAATATGAAAATAGATGTGAATTTGGAATTTTAAAATAGATGAATAACAACTATTAAATAGTAAAGTTACTGAAATGGAAATGTAAAGAAAACAGTTAATAACTTATGTTTCAGAATCTTGTAACATACTTCATGGCGTTTCCCATAGGCTTTGCTGTCTAGTCCTTGTAGTTTGAGGCTCCTCTTGATCTGCATTTTTCTTTTTGATTACAGAATTTATAATTTAATAAATACTAGAGTTTATCAAAAATAATTTGTCTGTTGTTTGAGTCTGGAAAGAGGATGGAAACATTTTGACATTAGTGGCCAAAGGTTAATAAACAGGTGATGGTTTGGAGTGGTGGTATTCAGCTTAGTCACCTGCTTGAAGTTTGATTTATTCATAAAGGATAATTAAACAGAATCTACAAGCAATTGCACGGTATAAGTGTGTATGGAATTTATAGCCCGTGAGACTTAAATTTCTTACATAACTGGTAGTGGAGACCATACTAGATTTTCCTTGCCAGTCTTCATTAGTGGCCTGACACTAATGGATTAAATTGTATTATTTGTAAACAGCATTAGTAGACACAAATTCACACAAAATATAGACTCTATGGCAAGATAGGAAGTCCCGGGTTAACTTGGAAATCCAGAATTTGGTTCTGAAAAAAGGTAGTGTGAGTTTTAGTGTTTTAACTCAAAACAGTAGGATCATGTTGAAGCCTATGCACGTTACTTTTAATATGTTTTTCAAGTATGAATTGAATGTTACAAGAGCAAATAAAAACTGCCACTACTTTGAAATTATCTTTTATCCCTTGCTGTGATAGGTTAGAACTGGGACTTCATTCTTTGACTTACTTTTAAAGCCTGTGTCATTGAGATCATAAAAGTTTGAGCTGTGCATTTTTATTAAGTGTACTTTCAAAATAGAGCTAGTTCTAAAAAAGAAAGGTTAGCCACTTTTCAGAAAAAAATAGAAATCTGATATAAAATGCGAATGTAACAGTGATGCATCATGAGTCCTTTTGATGTCAGGACGTTTTGATGTAAAGTTAAATTGTATTACTGTGTAAAGTAAACAGTACTACTTACTAGTTCGGAAATCCCAGGGCATACAAATGCATGGCCAATTTTGTAGAGTCAGTAGACTTTCCACGTGATGGCTATGGTTGTTTAGTAGATCATTTAAAGTAGAAACTACTAAAATATGCAGTAAGGCTCCAAATTTTGTAGGGTGGTAAGGTGGGGAGCATTTTTATTTAAAAGAGCCATAGAAAAAAGCCATTCCCCAAATTTTATTTTTTTATTTAAAAAAAAATTTAACGTTTATTTATTATTGAGAGACAGATCGTGAACAGGGGAGGGGCAGAGAGAGAGGGAGACACAGAATCAGAAGCAGGCTCCAGGCTCTAAGCTGTCAGCACAGAGCCTGACGCAGGGCTTGAACTCACAAACTGCAAGATCATGACCTGAGCCAAAGTTGGACGCTTAACCGAGTGAGCCACCCAGGTGCCCCAATTCCCCAAATTTTTTAAGTTTATTTATTTATTTTGAGAGAGGGAGAGAGAATCCCAAGCAGGCTCTTTGTGGACAGGGGGCTCAGCCTCAAGAACTATGAGATCATGGCCTGAGCTGAAATCAAGAGTTGGATGCTCAACCGACTGAGCTACCCAGGCATTCCTCCAGTTATTTTTAAACATTCTTTTATTTTTTAAGTAATCTCTATATCCAACATGGGGCTCAAACTCACAACTCCAAGATCAAGAGTCACATGCTTCACTAACAGAGCCAGCCAAGCACCTCTCCCCAATTCTTTACCTATTACCGCTGATTAAGGCAGAAGAAAATGATACCTTTTCTTATCTTGTTCCCTGACCCCTCTTCCACTTTTGTTCTTTAGTGCAAATTTCACTGTTATTTTTGTAAATTATTTCCAGATAAGACTGAACAGACACCATGAAAAATAACCCAGGAATAGGTTCTGTAGAGAGGTTTTTCCTCTCAAAAACTGGTCTTTTGTTACAGGCTAAGAACTATGGAATTGATAATTTTTAAGCCAAAAGTGTTGTATATTTTAACCAAATGTTCTACATTACTTGATAATTACCCAAATATACTGAAAACTAGGTCAATGAGTTCAGATATTAAAAAATTATTAAATCAAATACTAAGTGTAGCCTTCAAAGTAATTCTGGTATTCCTAGTTAATATTTAACTTTATAATTATTAATTTATTGGAGTTTTTCTTGTAGTACGTCATATTTTAAAAAATTATTTATCAAATTTTCGTCTCCTAGCAATAGCCTCTTTATTTGCAGGTCCCCCCCAAACTGTTCCTAAAAGGTCTCTTTCATTCTGTAATGCGTCCTCAAAACAAAGCTCTTTACCTGAAGAAACAGATTTTTTCAAAGCTCTAATTACTTCTGGTGGCCCTTTGATAAACTGCTTTAGCCACTCTTGTGCCTCTTCTAGACATTCAGTTTCATCTGAAGACTGCAAGACCTCGTCAACCATTCCTATGTTTAAAGCTTTTTTTGAGTCCAGTTTGAGGGCCCCACTTAATACTTTGAGAGCTTGTCTACTGCCGATTATTTCAACTAGTCGGGTAGCACCGCCCCAGCTTGGTATTATACCCATCTCTTTGTGGACAAATCTTATCTCACTCTCTGGCGTCATTAATCTGCAAAAGAAAAAAGAAAAACTTAATTGTAACTAAGTATATGTAACTGTAAGTATATGTGCTTTACTCAAAGTATTATTCATTATCTGATCTGAAATGTCCATGGATCTTTATAGGTCAGTAGATCTGTTATATTAAAAACTAAAAGTTCAAACTATCTGGATAAGTATACAGTTCAATTTACTACATAGTACTGAATATTTCCCTTTGAAAATAGTATCAGCAGTTTCACTGTGCTGGCTTATCCTTTATTTTGCAAAATAAGAATTTAGTTTTTATTTCTAAAAGCCCAGATTATCTTTTAAAAGTGAATAGTGGCCTAATGAGAAAACCTGGATTAAGTAAAAATACTGGAGTAGGAAATGTCAGGGTCATACCATGGGAAAAAGAAAAAAAAAAAGGTGCATAATAAAAGTAAGGTCAGTAGTTGTCAGGAAAACATTGGTTCTTAACCCAGCATCTGTATACAGCCTTTTAGCAAGTATTTACTAAGCACCACCTATGCCAGGTTGTCTAGGTGTGGGACTACAACAATCACCAAAATAAAACCCTGTGCTGAGTTTACACTCCTGTTAGGAGAGAAAGATACTGAACGATATAGAACCAGTGGGGATAAGTGCTATAAGGAAAAAATGGGGCAAGGGACTACACAATGAGGATATGGATGGAAAAAGCAGATGAGGTACCGTAATATCCATTTTACAGAGGGAAGCTGAAGCCACCTAGAGATGAAATAAATAGCTCACTCAAGGCCATGCCACTGTAACAGCCGAAATTTAAACACAGGAAGGTTAGCTCACTATGTGTGCTCTTAACCTCACAGTACACAGGGAAGCGAGACTAGGATGGAAACAGGTGCCATTAAGAAAGCTGACAGTGGCTTGGGTTGAGTAGTGATTTCCTATAGCAGGGATGCATTTCCCCCAAGGGGTTTTTATGAATTGGGTGATTAAGAAACAAAGTGGAACAAGAAAGGGAAGTATTAACACAAATCAGTGGACACAGTAAAAGGCTTCATGTTTGCCAATTAAATATGTGTACATTAGCAGAATGCACAAAGCTATACTACATAGGAAATGCTGTATGTGAGTTTTATTTTGACTGCATACTTCAATGAGCTTTCACTGTTAAAACCTCTAATTTGGAACAAAGATCATGTCTGAATTGTAATTTTTTAAGAAAAATTATTGCTTTCAAACTACTCCCTACATAAAAGAAGACCTTACATTAGTTCTGCTTTCCAAAGTGTAAATGCTCAGCTGCAGGTGTTCTGGTTCTATTAGCACCAAGAACAACAGACTCTTAGTCTTTGACTCTTTCATCAGGAAAAATATTCCAGTAAATTCTCACAAAAGCCTATTTAGTAACCCACTGGGAAAGAGAACTTTCTCTTCACAGCTGTGAATTCCTACAAGGGAAAATCTGCCTCAGTTATGAACAATTGCTTTTAGAGGCAAACAGCCCTGAAAATAGTTTTCAATGAATTTAAATGGGAAGAAGGAACAAATCTCCTAAGAATCTGAATCTAACCCCAAAACTGAGAGTACTTGCCTTGTAATAAACAGAAAACAATGTCAAAAATTAAAATGGAATAGAAATCATAGGAATAATGTCTAATAGTCTTAGAGATAGGAATGCTGTTAATCCTGAACACAACTCGGGGCACTTGGATGGCTCAGTCGGTTGGGCATCTGACTTCAGCTCAGGTCATGATCTCACAGCTTGTGAGTTCGAGCCCCTCATCGGGCTCTGTGCTGACAGCCTGCAGCCTGCTTTGGATCCTGTGTCTCCCTCTCTCTGCCCCTCCCCCGCTTATGCTCTCTTTCCTTCAAAAATAAACATTAAATTAAAAAAAAATTTTAAAAATACTGAACACAACTCGATAAAACTTTTCACAGCATAAATTGAGTACGTCATGGTTCTAAATTATATCCTAGAATTGACACGGATGTTGGCTCAACTGTGCCTACAATACAGAAAAGGATTATGTCGGAAATAAATTCATTTAGATTCAGCTGAACATATAAAAGTTGGTTAAAGCCTGAATGTTAGGAAAATGTAGATGAGTTTATGACAATAAAAGATATTATCTATGTAACCTTGCTTATATTTGGAATTGTCTGCTTCTAAAGAAGAATCCAACTTTATACCATGTATTTTTTTTTCCTTTGCCGTATCTTACAAGGTGAGGTATGCCATTTTGAATCATATTTTACAACTCTTAACAAATCTTGAGGTAATCTTTGTAAAACCTACCTGTTGTGATCAAACTCTGACATCCACTTAAAAAAAAATTTTTTTAATGGTTATTTTTTGAGAGAGACACAGTGTGAACGGGGTAGGGGGAGAAAGCAGGAGACACAGAATCTGAAAATAGGCTCCAGCCTCTGAGCTGTCAGCACAGAGGCTGAGGCGGGGCTCAAACTCACAAACCATGAGATAATGACCTGAGCCAAAGTCGGAGGCTTAACCGACTAAGCCACCCAGGTGCCCCAATATCCATTTTTTACATATGCCTAGGATGTGTTTGTGTACTGATATACATTTGAAGTTTATTTATTTAGAGAAAGCACAAGAGCATGTGCAAGCAGGGTAGGGACAGAGAGAGAGAGGGAGAGAGAGAATTTCAAGTGGGCTCTAACAGCACAGAACCCAAGGTGTGGCTTGAACTCATGAGCAGTAGGATCATGACCAGAGCAGAGATCAAGAGTTGGATGCTTAACCAACTGAGCCACCCAGGTGCCCCAACATTTAATATACATTAGTAAATACTACCAAAAAAATTATTGGCAAAAGAACACAAGGTAGTTTAACAGAAAGAGAAATACGGAACATTCAGATGATAACCTACACAAGACCATTAATCCAAAAATTAACGTTTAAACATAAAACTTTAAATGTTGATAACCATAACCTACAAAGAAAATGTCCAATCAACAAGATATATCCAAAAATAGAAACAGCTTCCTAATCAACCTTACAGGATTATACACTAATTAATTACTTCTAGAATGTAGATGCAGTTATTCCACCTATTAATGTAATTTACTGCAGGGAATAATCTACATGGAAAACTGGAAGACCTAAACCTTAAAATTCTGATGAATTACAGCAGACTCAATTTATAAAATGACATTAAACTCCTTTATTTTGACAAAAGAATTAAAAATATCTTCTATTAGTATAATTATTATTGTCAATGTTCAAAATCTCCTGTGACACCTCAGACAGGAGATGAGGAAATTAATCAAATGTAGATACACTCCTCATTACTGTATGGCTGCAACAGTAAACTACCCATAACGAGAAAAACTAACACCGGTGGCAGGTGTTACAAAGTCAGTCTTGACACCTGAAAGGACTGTTCAATGTGCTAGTACTTTCTAATAAGTTGACTGTTAAGTTCCAGGCCTTTGAACAAATGTATTCAAGAAAAACAATTTTAAAACAATTAAATTTTTCTTAAGTTTTTTAGTAAAAGTTATACATTTTAAGAACTGTTTGTTTCTAAATAACAGTACTTTTAGTGAACTCTGCAATAAAGAATTCAGAAACAAATAATTGTGTTGGGAGACAATTAGGCTTTGATGTGAAGTGCATAGACTTGAGCCAGACTGCAGGCTTTCCCAATAGACTGGTTGCATACTACACCCTGTAAAATACAGCACAGAAGAAGTCACAGTATAAAAAGGATGAGGAAGATTAAATTACTTAAAATCCCTGGGCTTTGGTATGCTTGTTTATAAAATAGATATGATAATAGTACTTATGCCATAGAATTATTATGAATATTAAGTTAATATACGAAACGTGTTTACAATATGTATGCCACAATTCATTTAAATAAAGTCCTAGAGGAGTGACTGTGTTTGTGATTTTTTTTTAAGTTTATCCATTTTTTGAGAGAGAGCACACGAGCAGGGGGGGGCGGCGCGGGGAAGGGCAGAGAGAGAAGAGAGAGAGAGAGAGAAAGGCTTGATCCCACAAACCATGAGATCATGACCTGAGCCAAAATCAAGAGTCAGAAGCTCAATCAACTGAACCACCCAGGCACCCATATTTGTTTAAAAAAAAAAAAAAAGTGTGACATCGGCCTCAGCCACATCCATAGTAGAGAACAGTATTATTTATACTTTAGAATATAAATGTTTATATTTTGTAGCCTCACAGTGCCTGACATATATTAAACTCTATGTGTACTAGCTTTTATTAAGTTGGTTGCATTGATAGGTCACTACAAAAGTAAAAGAACTATATGAAAGTAAAAGAACTATACTTATACCATGAAGCCCAGCAAATGATGGTATACTATCCTTCCTCAAATCTGTTAACAAGACTACAAAATATATACAATTATTTTAAAGGTTTTATTTTTTTAAGTAATCTCTACACCCAATGTGGTGCTCCAACTCACAACCCCAAGATCAAGAGTCACACACTCCCACTGACCAAGCCAGCCAGGTGCCCCTATATTACAATTTTTATTTCCAGATAAAGGTAGAATAACTGTGTTCTACTATAGATAAGGCTGAAGCAAAAGACTCCAAGTTGATTTTTTTTTAAATAGACATATATCTAAGATTAGCTTAAGGAATACTGTGTAATATAAGTAAAAGCATAAATATTTTAAAGTTTTAAAGAAAACATTCATATTACAAACTAACATGATGTCATAAATTTAAAGTTTGGAATCATCAATTTAAACAAACTTTGGTCTAGTACCATAAACTGCTAGTCCTTTGACAGTGCATATTAAGAGCCAAAGCCAATAAAGCAAATTGTGGTGACATGTGGAAATGTGGTATGTAAAACATATATAATTAGCAACAGCACCTCTGATCACAATACTTTAAAGTCCAGGCTTGACCATAAGCACTTGTTTGCACATGTACTTATCTTCCTGGCACCTTCTCCCTCCTACTTTCTACCTGATCTCACATCTCTTGACATATTATGGAAAAGAGAAGGCAAGAACCCAAAGATTCTCCCCTATTCTCAGG